CTGATTCTGACTGAGATTTTGACACTTAAACAAACATATCTCAGCCTAACCGAACGAGCCGCATTGTGCGAGATGCGAAGTACAAAAAGTAATCTCATTTGAGAGGGTGCACTTTATTGACTGTATAAAGTATACATAAAAGCGAGAGTATTCCAGTGGATGCGATCTACAACCTCTGAATTTGCCTAGTAACGATGAATTCGTCGAGAAAATGGTAATATTTTATGAGAAATAGTCTTTATTTCTCATTTTTTTTATTCTTTTGCGTAAAACTAAAATTCATGCCAATATTTTTCCATGATTTATAATAATTGGAGTAATGCAAATGCATATTTTCTAAAAAAAGTCATTTTTAGTGAAATTTTGCCGGGAATGGGGCTTTAAAATTACACAATTTGATTGAATCTCTCGTAGTCTGTTAATGGTGTTTCAACCTCATTTGTATTATCTCTATCTACCATTACTTGTATTCAATTAATTTTCTTTCTATGAACACACTAGGTTTAATTGAGCAGGGGACAAGCAACAGAATAATTCGTCAACTTGCAACTTCAATCTTCTTTAGTTGGAAAATGACAGAAACTAAAGCAAAGGTGATAAATATAAACTTGTTGACTTGTCAAAGCTCACACAAATCACCAGGAATAGTTGGCTTTATAACGCTGGTTCTTAATTAATTTCTTTTGTGGGCCAAATATTTTTTAGAGAAGATCTTGTGGGCCAAATGGAATCCACACCTATCGGATTCAATATAAACTACATTTAATTATGCAAAACAAATGTTAGTTCAATTATATGTTGACACAGGCTTCGAAGATTAAAGCGGAATATTTTGAACAAAATAAAGTATTGCACATCTTATATTAATCATAGCACATTATTTTTAATAACTATGTAAAATAAACAAACTATCATTACTTACTTAAATCGTCACCATTAGTAAGTCAACTTCTACATTTGTTTTTTTATAAAAGTCATATTTCAAAAGCCACTATGAAAAGTGTATGCACTACCAAACATGTTTAAGATGGTGATGGCTAGCTTCTTCAACACAGGCCTTATATTGGTAGCAATGTCCATGCTGATTATCCGTTCCTTAATTGTGAAATTGTGACATCCTCCTTTATTTCTGCAACTTCCATACTCAACTCAGCCACATTCTAATAACGTTGAAAATACCTAAAACTTTTAATTTCCCAGGCTATATTAGATTTAATTAGAGCATTAAATACCAATTTTTGATGTTAGCTTGTAGTACTTAGTTACGTACATTTATATCTGAGGTGTCGGCCCTACTTGCATAGGAGCAATGTTCACACATGCAATCATTTCTTAGATCAGATAAGGCGACTGCATTGTCATTAGATACAGAGTGTCTAACAATCAATTTATCTTCTGCGCAGCTCTGCTATATCATTATAATGCACTCACCGCCTTCAAACTCTCCCCAAGTAACATGGCTCACGGTTTCCACTTAGGTCTACACTTTATTTCAAAAATATTCATCAAATTTTTATTTTTTTTAAATTTTAATGATTAAAAACATTTTATTATATAATTTTTTTGCGCAGGCCAAACTAAATGGCCCTGGCCATTTAGAACCAGGGCTTTGTAATCTAGTTTCTCTTCTTTTTTTTTTATCGATTTATTGAGCTGCATGGGATTTTCATACCTCTTTTACAAATTTACAAATGTAAACAGCCAATAGCTTCATATCATTTAACTGGCTGCTAGGATAATAAAAGCTCTCAAAATTTAATTTCCATTCTGAATTATATCTACTTTGAATAAAAAATTTTTAAAAATCAAAACATGTCAGTTTTGAAATAATTTTTAAAGGTTCAAAATATCAACACTATAAATGAATTATTTAAAAGTTTTATAATGTTTAGTTACAAAAAAATAACTCTATAAATTTGTATACATGTTTTCTACATCTTTAGCTCAAGAGGCTTCCGAAACGCTACTTGAAAATCGAGAAGATATTGAAGGAGTTGTTAGAACGGCACAAGTTAGTTGATATTTTTTGGTCTATGCATACAACACACTTTATTGGCATTATCCTTGTAAGATTCAAATTGTTAGAGCAAAGAATATTGGCAGTTATTAGTATTGATGCTGTTAACCTTTTCCATTTCATTCTAACAGTAAAAGAAACGCATTACTATACTCTGTATTTTAGTTCATGTTCACATTAATCATGCCAATCATGCAAATAGTTGTATTCTGCCCTCTACAGTGACTATCGTCAACATCCTGCCCTCTTCATTATTGTCCTGTCCCCTCTGTAACCATTCTCCTTTCCATGAACAACCTACCCTTCTCATTGCTATCCTTAGTTGACAACTAACATCTTGATCTCTATTGACATCCATATTTTTAACGTCTTGATTTCTCCATAATGTCTTGATTGCTATGCTACAAACAATCTGCAATCCTGACCTCTTCTGTACTTTCGTGCTCTCTTCATTACTTTCTTGTCCTCTCGAAATTACCTTCCTGCCTTCCTTTTACATAACATATTTGCTTTTATTACACCCGATTCAACCTAATAGATCTCATAAGTATCAGTTTCGGTGACATCACCATTCATGATGCCATCACCAAACCTGATTAGCGGATTCTGATCAGATGATTGATGACTGGTGCTGTCACCAGTATGGAAGTGTATCAGCATTTTATTTGTCACCTAAACTAATCACTTAAGTAGAATCGGCTGCCTATTAACATCTACGTCTATTCATTAATATTTTGTGCTCTCTGTTAAAATAATAACCTCTCCATTACCATCTTGTTCTCTCAATTACAATTTGTACACATTCATCAAGATCTCCATTGCCATCCTGACCTCTCAAACACCATCTCTTAATATCCTGCTCTTTCAAACCACTACTGCAGACATGCACTACATACTTGAGCTCTTTCTCAGTCACATGCTCTCCATTAGTAGCAGTATCTTGCCCTACCATCCTGCCACTACTTTAACACTTTCCACACAATCAACATGGAGCATACAAATTACCCAGTCATAAGCAATGATGATAATAATGGTGATGGTGCTAATTCACTGATTTACGCATGTATTGTCTTTCAGAGCGTGTTCTGTACTTAAACTATTGGATTTCAACTGTCCTGTTTCTAACTCATGTGGAAAAGCACCTACTACTAAACTGAAATGCAAAGGTTTACATTTAAATTTATTCATATTTCAACGGTCACTTAAACATGGAGTTACTCATTTTCAATTGGTTAAAACTAAAATTTTTGTTTGCAGGTACTGACCATCAAAAATCCTGCCCACAGTACCAACTTCCAGATGATCTTGAGACACTCATTGCCATGACTACAACCAAGGAACAGGTCTTTAAGTTTGTGAAGAACAGAATTCTTCAGGCCGTTCCATTATCCATGTGGGGGTCAACATATAACAGAAATGCATTTCTAAATTGTATCCTTTTAAGAAAATAAAGTACAATAAAGAATATTAGTAGTATAATTAAAATGTTAAATAATTAAAACAATAATTCAATTACTAATGATGAATTATTAACTTTTATATTTTGAAATTCATTATGATTTTATATTTGGAACTAGAACTTTGAGATTAAAATTATGGAGAGCAAGTGTAATTTTAAATGTTTCACTTAACACACAAAGTCGTCAGAAAATTCCTGTTTATTGGACGAAAAGAGGAATTGAAGTTGCATGAGCTAACATCAGTGTTTAAGGTATATTTATCTGCTCTGACAATTGTCGTATTCGAATGGGAACTTTAATGCTCAACAGAAAATCAGTTAATATACTTTTCGTATTGTGTTGGGTAAATAACGCTAACTTTTTTGTTGAGTTTGTACTTAAAGCCCCATTCCCGCCATAAAATATGTTATAAAAATTTATAAATATATCATACGTAATTGATAGTTTAACTGAATTTAGACATTCCTAAACATGAAAAAAAAATTTAAAATAAGACTGAAACTAGATTTTCTGTGTTCCACACAAAAAATAAACGCGAATGAATTTTTTATGTTTGATTTTGTGATAGATCTGCGAAGAAATATAGTAGGCACCGGAAACATTAGCCTATCAACTGCTAGGCTAAGCCTAGCCTCTTGATTTAGGTTCTGTTATCAGACATAAAAACGGCCGACATAATATTTTCCGTTGCTAGTATTGATGATTGGGAAATATAATATTTCATTGGAATTATTTCAAATTTGTTAAAAAAATGATTCTGACCGAGATTTTGACAATTAAACATACACCTCAGGCCTACTCAATCGACCACAGTGTGGGAAATGCACAAAAACTATTCTCATTAGAGAGGGCACATGTTATTGACTGTATATAAAAAGTATACACAAAAGCGAGAGCATTCCAGCAGATGCGATCTACAACCTCTGAATTTGCCTACTAACGAAGAATTTGTGGAGAACATGGTAGTCTTCTATAGAAATAGTCTGTATTTCTCTTTTTTTTAATCATTTTGCAAATAACAAAAATTTATGACAATATTTTTCCATGGTTTATGATAATTTGAGTATTGTGCATATGCATTTTTTCTAAAAAAATTCTTTTTTTAGTGAAATTTTGCCAGAAATGGGGCTTTAACGGGGCTAACATACTCAGCAGATAAGTCCCAATCAAATACGCCAATATTCCCACTTTGTTTTTCTACTCTGTTGCATGAGGCTTGTCATCGCAAAAACCAAATCAGTGACCGAAACATGAAAATTGACTTTTTAATATATTCGTATTCTCCAAATTGTAAGCTTCACAATCATGGGTAATTTACTGGAATTGACTACAATTGCCCAAGTTATGAGTAAAAGTAATATGGCTTCTCTACGAAAGTATACAATACTTCTACATTCATATGCTAACTCAGTTTAACATTTAGAGACAGTATGCTGGATTTTGGATGGCATGCCTCATATTGTTGACTTAACTATCTACGTATTACCAATTCATAAACTTTGTTTGACTTACCAAATTTTAATTATGTTTATTTTTTAAAATATGTTAATGAATAGAGCTGCGATTCATAAAATGAGGTAGCAATGTAATGCTAGTAGCGTTCGGTTCAGCCTAACAAAGTATATACCTTGTGATGTCATAACATGTTAATTTGTGCTTTTTGCACACAAACCAAATACACTATAGAAAAATTAGTGCTGTTCCGTGAGAGAAAAATTACATTGCAAGTAGAAATGATACAATATAGTAAACGAGAGAGCAGCTTAGCTCAGTCGGTTAATCTGGTGGTAGCCGCTGTGTGTGTGCTGAACCACGGAGATCTCTAGGTCCCCGGTTCATTTCCCATCGCTGCCTTTTCTTGTGTTTCAGCTAGAGGGCTGAAATACTAGTTACAATAGCGCACTGTCTTTCGGATGAGAAGTTTAAGACGATGGTCCCGTGTGCATTATGGCCCATGTGCACGTTAAAAAACGCAGTACGCTCTTGGGAAAAGAGTAGGGGATTGTCTCCCGGTGTACTGCCCAATCGCTACCAGAAGAACCCCACTGGAAATAAGTCGTCTTCTAGACTTTCGTGGGCTGTCGTTGGTGTTTACGCCGAATTAATCCAATCCAATCCAATCCAACGATTGCTATTTCATTTATTCTGTTAAAGGTTGCTGACTGTAAGTGGCTGTACCTGGAAAATGAAGCCAACCTTTCAAAGCTGCCACGACAAACACTTAGGAAACAGCAAGAAATAGCATCTGACCTGTTGCATTGGCTAATGCAGGACTATGTTATGCTACTAATGAAGGTAGTACATTACCATGCTACCAGTATGTTTTTATAATTATAACTTTTAAAGAAGATTATGTTTCTTGTGCATTCCTTACAATAGTTTTTAATGCATTGCTTACTGATACCAATGTATGTTTGAATTTTTTTTTTTCGTATAATTTAAATATGATCCTCAAGGTGGTAATAAAAAATGTTTTGTTTTTTGCATTTTTCTTTTAATCTATACATTTTATTTTCTTTGCTTTGCTTTCAATTGTTTTAATTTCTTAGTAGACCGCTTTTTACATTACTGAGACAAGTGTATCCCGAAATGGTTTATCATTCTATCGTAAAGTCGTCTGGAATAAGATTCACAAGTTGGCAATAGAAGGTGCTCATTTTTAGCTGCTTTATCTTTTGTTTTTGCTTTTTTTTTTGCTAATTTCTAATATACTTCCATTAATTATTATTTATTATTTTGATTAACTGCATGATGATTCCAGTTAAATTTTTGTTTTGAATTAGTAAATTCTGTAGAAGTAATGTTTTTGCCCTTCCTGAATAGTAAGTATGTTCCCAAATACATCAAAATATTATATTTAGGGTCATTCTGTGTCAGATCACCCAATGGTAAACACCCCACCGACCCAAAAAAAATATCTTAAAGGCAACACTTTAAAGATTTAAAAAAAATTAAATTAGAAAAACACATCAGGTATAGCAAAAATATCGCTCTTATGATTTCAATAATACTACAATACTTCTACTGTGCAAGTGACAAGTTTTAACCTATGCTGTAGAAATCATAAAATATGTATATGTATCTATATATGTTCGCAGGTGAGTTGAGGAATGGGACGTTTAAGCTCATATCTCAGGTAATGTGGATGTATTTTCTGTTGTAAATTCTGAAACTAATTAATTATATTATAATTATGAGATACTGATCAAAGCAGTTTACTTTTCTCTGATTTACAGATTTTTTCTACAAAAAAATTCTTACATTGTTTTCGAGGAATATGCAAACAAATTTTGGGGGCTGTATTATAACTCGTAATACTACTCAGAATCAACCATCATAAATGCAACAACTTTATTCAACCTCTAGGGGGCAGTATACATGAGTTTACCACATCGTTACGTTCATATGTCTCCTGTTTGCCTTGGAAAATATTTTTTCAATTCATATTTTTAGTTTCTATCTGTAAATTACTTAATATACAAAGTAAGTCTGAAAATGCAAAACATTTTTTTTTTCATAGAAGTGATAGGTTGATTTCCATGTTTATGTATTGTTGTTAATTTTTTTTTGTTTTAAAGAAATTAATGATAAAATTTTAATTTTTTTCACTGATATCTAGGAAAGTGCAATTAAGTTAATGGCCAACCATAAAATTGAATCTTCCACTTTGAGATTTTTGCCTAAGAAGTCGAGTTGCCGCCCAATAGTCAATACCAAGAAGTCTACAACTGATGTGAGTACACTAATAATAATGATGTCATTCATTAATAATAAATAAAAGTTTTTAATAATGATAATTGAAAAAATAAATTATACTGTACTTATTACTGTATTGCTGTTATTTTATAATTCTTGTATTATTTACCTGCAAGTTGCTGGCAACACATAACACTTATCTTCTTTTTACTGTTTCAGGGTAGAAAGTTCTATTATTCTAAGCAACAGTTATTTGATATTCTAACTTTTATTGTGGTAAATATATTTTATTCCATTTATAAAGTGGAAAGCCTAAAGATCAGATACTAGAATTGATCTTGATAATTCATAAACAGACATTAATCTTCTTCTGTGGCAATCAGTGTATTAAAATGCATAACTTGCTGTAGCATTAATTGTAATACAGTTGATGTTTTAGTATAATTTGTATTGATAAGTAGGCTTACAAATGTCATTAAGATAGTGTAACGGTTAAAGTTCATAGTATTTTGCATATTATTGTTCTAAAGTTCATCTTCATGTCTGTAAGGTGTTGACACAAAGTCTCGTTTTTTTTTTTGTTTTTTTTTTTGCCACAAATGAAAAATTGGTTATTAATTTATTCATGTAGATGAATATGTAAAGCTTTATATTGGTTTTGGAATTAAATTCTTTGGTTAACCAGGAGTAGAGATATTTGTGAAACATGACTTTATACATATTATTCTTGTTCTGGCCAAGAGCACAACTCATTTTGCCATGACATCTTAAATTTGATTGTATGTTTTCTATGTTAAATTCTCCTTGCATCTACTAATTGTATTTACTGTTGAATTTACTCCATGTATCTCTTAACATATTTTTAGTCATTTCTTTTCAGAAGAACAAGCCTGCAATTGTTGGATCATCGGTTCAAGGGTTTTTTGAAGTTCACTCACAGTGGCAGAATTTTGTAACTAAACACCAAAGTTCTACTTCTGCAAAAGCGTAAGTAATGCAATCATTTAAAAAGATATATTCTCTGTGTTGAATTGATAAACATGTTTTGTTTTGACTGCATTTAGAAAGATAAGCTGGTCAGATGTCATCAGAATAAGTTGGTAAATGTAGGAGAATAACCACCTAACCACTTGACTGTTTTACTGTATTTTATTTTTTATTTTTTTTTTGGTTAAACTTAAATTGGTAACTGTATGTGAAAGTTTAACTTGTTTAGCTAAGACTTTAAAGTCAGATGGAAATTATTTTGGCTGGATGAGGAAAATAAGAATGAGGCAGGAATTTTGAATATACTATAAACATGCAATGCTGAAGATTGTATAGTGCTTTGTAAGGTGCTATGTGCATTGGCCTACAAAACAGTTTATTCCAGACATCAATTAGCGACTACGATTCCGGTCACAGAAAAATAACCACACTACGTTATATTAACTTAATAAATATATTAAATTAATAGTTTTGCTTTCACAGTCCCTTGTATTTTGTAAAAATGGATATTGCAAAATGTTTTGAATCCATTTTGCCAGAAAAGCTGATGACCATCATTGCAGCGGCTCTTAAGCAAATCGTAAGTCTGATTCAAATTCATTTATTTATTCTCAATCATTATGTCATAAATGATGCAAACTAAGATTTAAACATACATGCTTGTAACATTCAAGTGCTTTTGATCCAAAGATTGAGATGCACTAGCTAAAATTTAATAAAGCAGTAGATAATTTATGAATTAAAGAATAAAATTTATAATCAATAATTTAATTTAAACCTTGATTCATATATTTTTGTATTATAAATGCATAATTCATAATTCACTTTATTGTAATCATATAACAGATTTGATAATACAAAATATTCATAAGAGAAAAGGACTAAAAAAAAAATATTCACAATTTAAAATTTAAAATTTATATTATTATTATTATTATTATTATATATAAAAATATTATCTGTTATCAATAATTATTATTTTAATACACTAAGTATTTTAAAAATCCAAATCACAAGTCGCAATTTCTAAATATCTAAAATTCATTTATTAATTTGTAATTATTATTATTTACAAAAAGTTATAAAAAAAATTATAAATTTTGATTTAAAGAAGAAAAAAATATTATTTGATTATAAAAATATCAGTTATCAATTTTGATTGAAACTATTTACATGTTGTTTTTTGTCACAAACGAATGAAATTCCTATAATTATTTGTAGTATATTTTATCGGTACTGTAGAATCATCGTCTTCCAAATATGGGTTGCCAATATGTTTTGTAGGGTCGTCAATCAATAGAAGGGTCTGAATATGTTTACAAATTTACTAAAGCTTGTAGCTGCATATTGTCAGTCTAAAATGATTGGTATTCAAAGAGAGAGCAGCAGGTTTACCGTTGGTAATGTTATTTGTCCCACTGCTATTTAAATGTAGCACATGATCATCATTGGTAAAGTTTTTGTAAATGAAAATATGTGTGAAGATTTTTGTATGTATTTTATAAATGAAGTAAATAAGAATTGTACATAAATAATCCATGTGAAACCAATTGTCGAAGGAGATAGACATCAGCTCTCTGATTAGCCCCACATTAGTCTATATTAATAATATTTTACTTCTGTGGCATAATTAGCTGTTTTAATGAGATGTTAATATCAATTTAAATATTAATCACTCACAGTGTAAATACATGTAAAAACAGGTCATAAAATTTGTGAAGAATGGACCACTAAACTCTGTTGTAAATATGTAATTTGAATTTATAAACCGATTTAGTTTTTATAGTATTATTTTATGAATATTAAAGCTGTTTTAGTACAATGTCTTTCAACGTTCCCAAGTGTGATTTTTGGTTTCTGAATAAATTTACAAGTTTAATAAGCTTGTACTGTAGCTGCATGTTATCAATCTGAAAAAAATCACTATTCAAAGAGAAAGCAGCAGGTTGGTAAAGAAGTTTTCCCCATAGTTATATCGATGTGGCACATCATCATCTTTGTTGGTAACATTTTAGTAGGTGAATATATGTGTAAAGATTCTTGTGTAAATAAGAATTGGACATCAATAATCCACCTGAAACCAATTGTCGATGGAGAATGACGTCAGCCCTTGACTAGTCTCATTTATCACTGACTGATAGATATCCTCAATCGAAATAGATAATTTCAAGAGACAGATTCAAGAATAAAGTTACATTGATAGTTCAAGGCTGGGGCGCTAAAGTATAGCATGGCTGGATTATAAGGTCACCTTATCAAAAAATTTAAATACCAGGGATGAAGAAAAATACAGTGCTCTATCGTGAAGTACAGTAAAGCCAAAGCAATTTTTGGCTGATGATAGATCGTTTTGCAGAAGTTTCCCCTCTGCAAACCTGGTGATATAATGATATTACTATTAACTAACTTAATAATTAAGTATTTATATTATTTATATTTTTTTTAGAAGGGAAGCCCTTTTATAATCAGTCACTATGCAGTTGTTTCCAAACAAGGCCAAAGAATTATCAAGAAGCACAAAAGAAAGGTTTCAACAATGGTGGACTTTAGAACGGATTTTATTTCTACACTTGCCAGAAACTCGTATCGTAACAATTGTGTGTTAATAAACAAGGTTTGTCTTCTCTGCTTAATCTAGCACCTAAAATCTATAAACTATGAACTCTAAAATACAAATTTATCCTTACAGTTTTTTTTGTTTTTTTATGTTAAACTAAATGTTGCCAACTGAGCAGCTTAGCTCAGTCAGATAAACTGGTGGTAGCCACTGTGTGTGCACTGAACCGTGAATTTCTTGGTCCCTGGTTCATTTCCCATCGCTGCTCTCCTTGTGTTTCAGCTGGAGGGCTGAAATGCAAATTACAATAGTGCACCGTCTTTCAGATGAGACGTTAAGGTCGATGGTCGCCTGTGCATTTTAGCCCATGTGCTCATTAAAGAACCCAATACACTCTTCGTAAAAAAGTATGGGATTGTCTTCCGGTGTACTGCCCTCTCATCACCAGAAAGACCCCAACAGAAATGTCTTCTTCAAACTTTTTTGTTGGTTATCTTTGGTGCTTACACCGAATAATACCATCCATCCAATGTATAGATATGCAAATATGCTAACAATAAATATTACTGATTTAAATTTGAATCAAACAGTAAATGCTGCATAGTGCACCCTAACATGACAGGCTGAGGGACATTGCTGTGATGTCCTACAATGGAATTTGTTGATGATTATAAGTGAAATAGAAATAAGTTGAATAAACTTACAAAAATAGTTAATACTCTCAACTCTTAATGTAAAATATGAAATTTTAATCATTGTTCAATAGGTTGGTAAATGACGGAGAATCACCCAGCCACATTTGACTTGGTTTTTTTAAAACAAAAAATGCTAAATTTATGTGAAAGTTTAACTTGTTTAACTAAGACACAGATGGGCAAAGTGCGGCCCGACAGTGATTTTCTTGCGGCCCGCGAAAATGAATTAAAACCCTATTTCTGTGGCCCGCCAAACTGTTTTGACTAGAAACCTTGAAAATGGAGACCTTGTTTTTTACAGCCCAACACCGACCATCTGTAAAAAGTAATGTTAAAAAACTTAAATAAAGTGGTATAAAAGCAGTGCATGAAGGTATTTGGAAGCACACTATAAACATCAAGGTTTGGGTGCGGCCCTCGGTGTTAAATAAAAAATTTTCTTTGGCCCTTCAACCAATTTTTATGCCCACACCTGAACTAAGAGTTCAAAGTGAGATTTAATTTATTTGTCTATTATACATTGTATACAACACATTGAATAAACTCTCAACCCTTAATATAAAATATTAAATGTCAATCATCGGTCAATTTCAAACCAGTCAGGAATTTCAGTCATAACTATGAGTAACTGTTGAACGGTATTTCATTAAAGTCAGGCTCCAGAGGGAAAACAATTTTTTGATATGTTGTAGAACTGATTTTTCTAAGACAGTCAGTTCTACAACATATCAAAAAATTTTTTTCCTCCGGAGCCCGACTTTAATTTGACCTTCATGACAATTTATTGTATCATAACTCTTTTAAAGCTGATAATTGAACAGTATACAATTAGAAATATTACAATAGATAATTTATATATTGTTAATTTTAAGAACAATTAAGTAAAATATTTTATCAAACATATCACTGTTGACACTTTAAGCCCGTCACACACTACATCGTTGTAAGTAGCTTTCTTTGTAATATCGCAACGAACCGTTTTTGAGTGTAATTTCTCAAAACCTGCATGGCTGATATCCAATGAATTAAATATTCATAACAGTGGTAATACTTAATCAATTTCCTTCAAATAAACTCTGTTTAAAAGAATTCATGCAGAATATTAAAAAAATAAAATACCAAAAAACTCAATTTTGAATTTTTTCTACAAATGGCTGTTTTTGCCTAAGCAGGTCACATTTGTTTGCCAGTGTTCTATGTTGGACAGGCTTTAGACATGCTTTAAAGTTTGTTTGTTTGTTTTTTTTAGGCCTGGAATGACGTTCAACATCCACAAAATCTTCTTACCACGTTGAAGAAAGTGTTGAAAAATGATGTTGTCAAGGTACTTTATATCCTTTGAATTTCTTAATTTACATATTATGCATTAAAAAAAATAAAACTTACTAAATTCTGCAAAATTATTCTGGCTTGAAGTATCAAATATAATATTGCAACTGATGTTCTTCAAAGCAAATTGTATTTGGTATACAATACACCAAGGTTACACCATGGAATTAATAGACTTATTTCCAGTGGGATGGTTCTGGTGGCTGTCATCGTCAGTTCAACATTTGTTAGTCAACTTTGGTGTCTCTCTTTATCAATGTAATTAATCATAATGCAAAAACCTACTGTATGCTTCAAGTCTCGACATATTTTTTGAAAAATACAAAACGTTTTCCACATAAATATGTATACTGTACGAATGTAGGACTAGCGAAATGTATTTTATGTATATGTGGGTCTTTTGGTACACCAACTTTTTATTACCCCTGTATTAAGTAAAAAATGTTAATAACGATTCACAAAGAACAGAACAAAATACAGAGATGGAACTTGGCGGCACTAAAGTCGGTGTAATGCTAATATTGTATGGCTTGGGTGAGTCGAGTGGCCAAGCGGTAAGGCAGGGGTGCCGCTATCTACAGCCTTAACATTGGCTCTGGTTCCAGCCACTCCTTGCCCATGGTTAGGTTGGTAGAACCAAGTCTTCTTGGATAAGGACTTAAAATGGAGGTTCAGTGTGTACATCTGGCCTGTGTGAACTTTAAAGAACCCACTGTATCTTTCGGAAAGGTAGGGGGTTACCCCTATATTATGGTTCATTTCAGCCCCTGTCGTTGTGGAATGATGTGAACATGTATCTACCATGAAGCGCCTCTTTACGGCTGCTAGGTAGTCACGGACCCCACCCATAAGCAATTCAGCACACTGACGCTGCAAGTTACAGGTTACTGTATTCTCCTACCTTACCTTACCTTGAAAAGACGGCTATTGACGAAACACAATGATCAGAACAATACACAGAGACAGGACTTGGCGGTACAGAGAGTTCTGTATGATTTGAATTACTTGCAGGACAATCAAAGTGTACTTTTTTTTATAAGCAGTGTTCTTTGGTTCACTAACTAACTAATAACCCTAAAGTTACAGTAGTTGTGTTTACCTGAACAATACACAGAGACAGGACTTTGCGGTACAGAGAGTTCTGTATGATTTGAATTACTTGCAGGACAATCAAAGTGTACTTTTTTTTATAAGCAGTGTTCTTTGGTTCACTAACTAACTAATAACCCTAAAGTTACAGTAGTTGTGTTTACCTGGATGATTTAACAATGAGCTTCTTCTACCTGCTATGTTGCTATGTCAAATTTAGCAGAGCTATTTAGAATACCAATCTTCGGAGCTTTTTGATGGTTCATAGTGGGGTAACCCCCTACATCATAACACTTTTTTTTTGCTTGTTCGAAACGCGCAGTGATGCACAGAACCACCCGATAAATCACCCGATTTTGGCACCATTCATTCTGTTTATGGCATAGGCCTATATTATCTTGCTCATTTTCAAATCATACCTGTGCCCATTGCTCTGGGGTTGCATTTACATTTATTGAAAATATATTCATCAAACTTTTGATATTTTTTTTTTCTCACGGGCCAAATGAAATTGCCTTGCGGACAAATTTGGCCCGTGGGCCGCCTATTAAGAACCATGGAGCTATACACTGGTAATGGAGACATATTGTAATGTAATTAAATGATACAAAGATAAATACTTGGTGTTTTACATGTTCTGGGTTTTAATAATTTAAAAAAAAAACAGTGTATGCTTGTTTTGATGTATTATTCAAAAAAATATATAATAATTTTGGAGAATAAATATAATATACCTCATAGTATTCTACTTTTGTTTTTCTCTTGTAGGTTGGCAGCAAATACTATCTGCGCACGTGTGGAGTTGGCCAAGGCTCCATGTTATCTACTTTATTATGTAATTTATATTATGGGTACATGGAACATGCTCACTTGAATGGACTAGATCAAGATGGGGTAAATTGACTACCTAGAATAACAGTAGGCATTCTTGTGTATTAGTAGTGTGTCTCCCCTCCCTCTCCCTCCCCTCCCACAAGAAAGAAGCTTGCACCTCCTAGTTCCCCCACCCTGGACATTTTTGAAGCAAAAAATTATGCTTAAGTAGTTAAAAATCACCTCATAATACCTCTTTTGTGCCCCCCCCCCTTTATATCAAGCCCCCTTTTACATCAAGCCCTCCCACTTTACCTCCGTGTCCCCTTCCATCAGACCTCACATTTCACTCTTAGGTATGCCAAGGTTGTGTTTTTTATTAATTAGAAAATACTTCCTGATCAAAAAAATTGATACTAATCACTATAGGCTTTTTAAGTACTGTACTGTGTTCCTGTGCTGGAAAATATATTGTGTGACTTCATTGTATAGATATTCACTGAAAGCTGGCAAATGCAAATTATGTAGATAAAAAAAGAGGGATTTTTTAATCATTTCATCAGATTTTGCTACGACTGGTTGATGATTTTCTTCTTGTAACACCACATCGTGCCAAAGCTGAGAGATTCTTGAATATTCTTCTCACTGGTGAGTATTGCCTTATAGTGGGATTTCAAGGACAGAATTGGTAGAAAAAGTAGTATGATTTCAATGTTTAGACCATAAAATAATAATAATACTCAATAATAAATAACATTTTTATAGCGCAATAAACAGTTAGTTTTGAAGCTCTTTGAATTTCCAGTTCTGTTTAATATTTAGACTTACAGAAATATAATGAGATCAATTTAGTAGGAGATGTCGAGGATCAGCAAAGGTATGAAACTGTCATCTGAAGATGTACATTCTCAAATAACCCATACAAAGCCATAGTTATTGGCTTTTCCCAGCTTTAGCTGGAAAAACCATTGTTTAGTTCTGATTTTGTTTTTCTTTTTTCTTCCATATCGTTTTACCTATCTTCTTGAGATTATTCTGCCTGGCACTTTGGTCACTTTCAATGGTTGGCTCTGTTTCCAAAATTTGTCAAAGCAGAGACCATATATCAAAGATGTGCCTAATATTTAGTGTCAATCTAAAGTGGGTTGTGGATTTGAGGACAAATTAAAGGGTTTTAAGGGCAAACACTCCAGCAGATATTTAAAAAATGGGTCAACTGAACTGAATAAAACTTGAGAAAGTTCAACTAAGCAAGAAGGAAGAAATGACTATGTTTTGGTGACGTTCCAGTTTAGGGTGTAAATTTGATGGTCATTTAAATTTTTGATGCCCCAGACCTAAATATCTCAAAAACATATTCATTGTATCAAAACAAACTTTTCTATAATCTATAAGTCATGGTCCAATAGAGAAATGATAAAATTTTGATAATGATCTGGAGTAGTATGTGGATGTAAGGACCATTCAAAGGAAGACATCCCAGACCAGATATTTTAAAAACTAATCATCTGATCTCATTGAAACTTTTGTGAAAGTTTACCAAGTTACAAGGAAGAAATTATAAAATGTTTGTGACATAAATTTGAGGGTCATTTAAATTTCTAAGGTCCTAGACCTTAATATCTCCAAAAATGTATCAATGGGTCTAGATGAAACTTTTCATAATAGTTTGTGATGATGGGAGTAGGTTGTGGATATGAGGACCAAGGAAAATGTCCCAGACTGGATATTTCAAAAAATAATCAACCAATCTTAATGAAATTTTTGGGAATGTATTTTTTTTTTCTTGTTTTTGCTCTAATTTATTTTCCTCCTTTAAACCCGTGTTCCTATATTTTTGCACAGATTTTTCCTGACCAGCACTATGGTCACTTTCCGCGCTTGAATTTTCTTCAAACATTGTCTAAGTAAAGACCATATCAACGATGTGCATATCATTTATGACATCATTTTTTACACATTTTTAATATTAGCATATTTTTCTGTATGATTTCATTTTTGTTTTTCGTGTGTTATTTTACACTAGTCTTTGTTTATATTCAGGCGTTGCAACATTTGGGTGTAAGGTTAGATTTGAAAAGACCCTCACCAATTTTGCATTTTCCTACAATGGACAGGCGATCAATTCATCTTCAGGTGGGTTATTAATCATTGTTCTGTATCATTTTGTTGTATGTTGTTGCTGTGTTTGGTATTTTTATTGTCTATTTTGTGAATACTTAAGCCGATAAATGCCCAAGTTTCCTTTAAAACTTACTCTCGAGAAGGTAACAAGACAATTCTAATCATTAAATGGGTAAGCTTTTCAATTCATCTATATCACTCTACAAAATCAAAGAAAACGAGGAAGCTGTATATTCACGCTAGGCTTATACCCAGCTAGCAAAGCGACGTTGGCCCAACGTTGGTAAACGTTGGCAAGCGTCGGTAAGCGTTGGGGTCGGATATCTGACGTTGGTACGACGTTGGTGTTTGGTTGCAAAATTTGGTCGGAGAAGTAACGTCAAACCAACATTGGAATTTCACGTTGGCCCAACGTATGGATATATTTGTCGATTTTCCGATGTCGTCCCAATGTTGGTAAGCCGTCGTAAATATTCAGTCTGACTACTGACGTTGGTAAAACGTCACGATTTGTTACTGGCCCGACGTCGGCAAACTACTAAAAAGATGGTTGGGTACTACCGTTGGCCCGACGTTGGCTAGAGGTTGTAAATATTAGATGTGATTGCAGACGTCGTCTCAACGTCACAGTAAACGTTTGAAATGGAGGTTGGTTAAAACCGTTGGCCCGACGTTGGTTAGAGGTTGTAAATATTAGATGGGATTGCAGACGTTGCTTCAACGTCACAGTACGTTGTTGGCCCGACGTAGGTAAACGTTTGAAATGGATGTTGGTTAAAACCGTTGGCCCGACGTTGGTTAGAGGTTGTAAATATTAGGATGTAATACAGACGTTGTCGCAACGTCAGAGTACTTTGTTGGCCCGAAGTCGGTAAACATTAGTGAAGGTTGGTTACAACCGTTGGGCCGACGTTGGTTAGAGGTTGTAAATATTAGATGTAATTAAAGACTTTGTCGCAATGTCATAGTACTTTGTTGGCCCGACGTCGGTAAACTGTATAAGAGACAGCAATATGATTATTATTGATTACTTTTGGTAAATATTTCAGCCCCTTCAAATTTATTTCCTATTCTTCTTTCTTCCTATGCTTCTTCCATATTTTAATTAAATTTAATTCATTTTACTAAATACATATGTAACACATTGACCGCCAGGGGCTTGAAAAAATAGTATCAGCCATTTTATCAAATTTTAACACTTTTAACACCAAAGCTCGTTGAGAATGCATATG